GGGGGCAGAAAAGCGCAAGGAGACGAAAACAGGCGACAAATACAGCAAAGGCAAGAGAAGCAGGCTACCATATCAATAACAGGCAATTGAAATAACAGGGGATATGATGGATAGTAAACTTCGCACTAATGGGTCAGAGTGACAGTCGAAGAGACATCTGAGGTGCGGCGGGAATGATCTTTATGAATTCATTAAGATAGGCGGAATTTCGGGCGTAAAGGTCTCCGCATCGTGCGATCGCCAACCTCACCTCTATAAGCTGCGATATCGCCGATCTTCAAATTAGCAGCCGCTCGTCGGTAATACAAACTTGGATCCGAAGGATGCTCCGTGATGGCATCCGTGTACGCAGCCACAGCCTTCTCATACTCTTCGTCAATGAAGGACTTGTCGCCAAGCCTTTCCGACTCCGCCATGCTGACACCCCTTCCCTTAAGTTTGTGACCTCTTCCTCTTGTACACCTTTTCGACAGCTTTCCCGCTTTTTTTTGTACACCACTTGGAACGAAACCTTTCCCGCTCCTTGGAAAGCTTTCGGGGAAACACTCGCTCGCGACACGTACGTGTCCAGTGTCCTCCTTGTCGACGTCGATAGCTAGTCCACACCCCTATTGTTCAAGTCGACATTGTCATCAACACGTACTTGTTTCCCCCGCGAAGTTCCCCCGAGGCCCCTGGCAAATTACTCGCCCTGTTCAGTGAGGAAAAGTATGCTCACCTTCGCGCCTCTGCATCTCATTATGACTCCAGGAATACCACGTGCTCGGGGGGGCGCCGAAGTCAATACCGGCACCGCGATGGCCCCTCCAGAAACATCGTTCCTTGTGACGCGAAGCAGTCAACACAGTATCGTCCGTCACAAGGCCAAGCTGTCAACCTTGTACCGCGCTGAAAGATTTCCGCGAGTCCTTTCCTGGAACGTTTTCCACGCAATCCGCGAGTCCTTTCCTTGAACGTTTTCCACGCAAAAGTTTTCCACGCCACCTATAGCCCGTGTGTCTACACGGTGAGGAACTGTCAATAAGCACGCCTACCAAGTTTGAGTCCTGTGCATCAGATGGACAAAATATCCTCGGTATCATCAGTTCGCTGAAAATCTTAGAACAAAACTGCCGCTTGGGCGAGCAGTGTACTTATGGGGCCACTAGAAAGTTCTATTCGTTGTGGCAAGCCCTACTATTTCCCAGCCGACCATCACCTATGAAACTCAGAAGGGACGCTGAGCCTGTCCCCAGCCCTACTGGTAGCCCGTTGCTCCTGCAGGCTAGCCTTGGCAGGACCTTGACCATTATTGTTGGGTGGTATGAGACAATGTGGCGTGGGGCGGGGTGGGGTGGGGTGGGTGGGGGAAGGGGAGGTGCAGGACTGGCCATTGTGCTCGGCACTAGCACTGTAGACAATGCCCGCCCACCCCGGATCACTGTGATACCAGTCGTTGATTCGGGCTCGTTGTGACGCCCAACCTCACGCCCGACGCGACTTCCTGATCAGAGTAGGATGTGGGCCTGGAAGTGCGAAAAGGGGTGTGCCAAGGATTTTTGGGAAAGTGGGGGTGGAGTCCCAGGTCAAAACTGGGATCTCCTGTGGCAGAGTTTTTCAGGGGCACGAGTGCAATTTGGTTTGAGAGGACGGACCGCTTTCGGTCATAAGGCAGATGGCATGCGCGGGTTATTCAAGGCCGTCCGCTTCGTCTGTTTTGGGGGCGGCGGTTCAGGGTCAGGTCTGCCCGGAAGGGCTGTGATCCCGGTGAGTCGGGCCTTTGGGGGCAGCCACGTGGCGGCTGTCGTCGCGTATTCGGGTTAGGCCCTCTGGTTTCCGGGATTCTCTGGTTGCCGCGTCGCCGGCAATTCCCGCAGGGCGTGCGGGGCCAATATGTGGCCATGGCGTTCCACGGGACGACCTTGAGTTGATGATACGGGAGAAGAAGACGGAAGGGAGGGAAGTTAGTGGAGATAACGACAAAACCGGGGGAAATAAAGTAGTGCGTGTGGTCATAAGTGGGGAAATCGGGGCACCGCGGATCGCTGGTTGTGGCACAATGGAACTCCCTAAGACACAGTGGATTCTCGGTTAAATAGGGGAACCTCTGTCGGAGGCACTCTTCTATCCAAGGGGTGAAGTACTCCGGATCCCACGACGAGTCTGAGTCTTTTGAGCACGACATCTTGTCATGGTGGAGCCGCAAAATTCCTTAGCGCGTGGTCGCTCGGCTGAAGACTTTCCACGCTCGGCGTTCAGGAATTCCGTGTCGGTCCCTATATTCGACGATTGCGATCACCGCGTGTGAGTACGTGTAAATTGCGTGAATTGGATCGCACTTACACGTGTTCATACGGGACGCTCACTTCGTTGTGGCTGCATAATGGCCACTGAACACATCCAATCAATCAATATCCCCGCAATCGTTAACCCTTTTCATGTGTGCGGGTGGTTACGAATCGGCGCGTGTGGACACGTGTAAGTGCGCAGGTCAGATCGCGCTTACACGCTTCCCCGCGAGGTGTTCGCTGGTTTCTGGGCAACCAACTACCCGATCATCTAATCATCCCATGACACACACGCAATCTACTATGCATTTGCAGTACAACGGTAGATCGGAAAAAAAAGGCGGGGGGGCAGACATCAATAGTGAGGCTTTCGCGAATTTTCCTACTATGCTCATGAAGGTATCAATACAACAAGCAAAGGCAAGAATCAGGCATAAGGCAAACAAACAGACATATCATCCATTCATTCAGAATAACACACCATATCCAAGACTGAAATCACAAAAACGAGTGTGGGCCGAAACCAAGTCAAGATTCCGAAAACAAAAACGGGCGAATCGCCCTAAACCGAGAAAAGAAAATGTGTGCAGTGAACTGTGGGTAGCGTCCTGCGGACCAGGGATCGAGCCCTGGTGTAGTCCGTAACACTATCCCCTCCCTCTAGAAGGCAACGTCCCGGCTGCCAAAAATCATGAAGCAATGCTGAAATCTGTGAAGGACAGGACGGAGCCGATCACTGGTTAACAAGTCGAAAGGGAAAAGGGGTATAATGTGGGTGGCATGAGCTGCGGGAATAAGAGGGAACAAGGTTTGATACCGGTGAACAGGGTCGTCCTACTAATGAACTAGGGGGGGTTGCAGAGAACAGGGTAGTCTTACAAATTAACTAAAGAGACGACAGGGAGCAGGGTAGTTCTACTGATGAGCTAAGGGGATTGCATGGTTTGCTATAGGTCAAAGGGGAATAAAGTTCATGGAACAGGGAACTTCTATTGATGTTCTACTGGGTAAGGGAAACAGTGTTCAGGAAAACGGGGTATTGCTAATGATGTTCTACAGGGTTGCCAAAGTCGGAGAGAAAAAAAATAAATAAATAAAAATGTTTGTTATGGATGCAAGGCCTGGTGTGTCCGAAGAAGCAACATCTCATGTGGGAACAAAGTGTCCAAGTGTCTTGAAAGAAGATCTACAGCGGTCTTGATCCGGTTTTGGAGTAGGTGGTGGAAGCGGTCTTCAGTGGCTGCAAGGGGTAGAAGTCCAAGAAGCGTAGCAGCAGTCCAAATGTCCAAAGTCCAAGTGCTCGGGTGCGTCCGATACATGAACTGCAATGAGGTCTGATCTGGAAGCAGGCAAATCGTTGACTAATGCAAGTATCCATGCCGCAAGTTGCTGCTCCAGTAAGTCTACGAGTCGGGATGCCGACCGATGAAACAACATGGTGGCCAAACCAGTTGCATAATCTCCATGAATAGTGAGGCAACAGGCAATCATCCTCGTGCATTTGCTATTAGATCCTTTATTGTCGGCGTCATGCAGATCCACAAGTATTGGACAAAAGAGGTAAGGTAGTGGAGACGACAAATGAGACAAGGCTAGGCGAAGGTAAGGGCAGATCAGACATCAGGAATCAAGGTCAAGGGGAGGGTGGTTGGGTTCAAGGGTGTGTGTAGAGCAGGGTTGTGAGGGTTTCGCGGCGGTTTATGCCATAGTTATACAGGTATCTAGGACATAGGATTAACACGATCATAGGCCCGAACAAGTTTCATGGCGTTTTTAAGATTAGAAAGAGGTTCCCATGTAGATTCTTCGTCGGGGTATCAGGTTCATTTAACTTTGTATTCAGTGATTGGTTCCGGATGATCAGATACCTGAGTGGTTCGTCGGCCTATGATGGTTTCGACAACAAGTTAAGGGTTTGTGGGTAACATGATTGGTGGGGGTCTAGGATATGGGCGGTTGACGAACTGGGGCAGGGATTCATGGTATTCTTTTAGGTACTCGACATGGAAGACCGGGTGGACACGACTCATGTTAGGGGGAAGTTGGAGTTTGTCGTAGTTGACGGGGGAGGTTTGTTCAATGATGGGGAAGGGACCGAGCCATTTGTTGGAGAGTTTCTTTGACAAGCCGTGTTCGGGTTCAAAACGTTTGGCGGAGAGCCAAACTTTGTCCCCTACTTTGAATGACACGTCGCGTCTAAGTTTGTTAGTCTTGTTGGCTTGTTGTTCTTGGGTTCGTTCAATGGCTTCAGAGACTTCTCTCAGGAGTCTGTTCATTGTTGCTACCCATTCATTGAGAGAGGAGCAGGGGGTGGATGAGTTAAGGTGCAAAGGAAACAAGAAGTCAGAGGGCAAGCGAGGGTGGTAGTTAAGGTCGAGGTAGAATGGGGACATGCCAGTGGAAGGGCAGATCGCGTTGTTGTAGGCAATCTCGACGGCTATGAGCAACTGATCCCAATCGTGTTGGTGTGGATGACAATACTTCCGCAGGATTTTTTGAAGAGTATCGTTCATCTTCTTTATTTATTCATCGGTCCGTGGATGAAATGTTGTGCTATACTTGAGCGTGGTTCCGTAGGCCGTGAAGAGGTGTTTCCAGAATTGTGAGAGGAAGCGAGGATGACGTTCACTGATGATGTTATCGGGGAGGCCGTGATGGCGAGCAACATGGTCGAAGAAGAGTGTGGCGACGTTTTTGGCACTGTGCGAGGTCATGCAAGAGATGAAGTGGGCACGTTTGGTCAAGCGGCATACAATAACGTAGGTGCAATCATGCCCACGGTCGGTCTTGGGGAGGCCACACACGAAATCCATGGAGATGGATTGCCACTGGTGAGTTGAGATGGGCAATGATTGGAGCTTGCCGGGTTTGGCCCGGTTCGAGGGGTTGACAACTTGACACGTGGGGCATGAGCGAATATATGCTTTGATGTCGGCGAGCAGGGAAGGCCAGTAGAAGTAGCGGGAGATGGTGTCGAAGGTTTTCTGAAAACCGAGGTGTCCTGCGGTCTTGGCGTCGTGGTGCTCAGCCAAGAGTTGAGTACGGAGACCATGTGCGTCAGGGATGCAAAGTTGGGGAGTGCCTTTGGTATCGATGTAGAGAAGGTTGTCGTGAAGGGAGTAGTCGGGGACTGGGTCAAGATCGCGGAGCTTGTTATAGATGGTGGCGAAGTCTGGGCAAGAGAGGTAGTCTTGGGTGTATCGGTGATGGAGTGATGGGAGGAGTTGGATATAAGTCATGGCGGCGTAGACTTTCTCGGGGGGCTTGTGGTCGGGTCGTCGAGAGAGGGCATCCGCAACGCGGTTGCTTTTGCTGGAGGTATGGCAAATGGTGAATGTGACCTGGGCAAGGAAGTCTAGCCAGCGAGCTTGGTGTGGAGTGACATCTTTCTTGGAGAGGATGGAGGAGACGATGGTGTTGTCAGTGCGGATGGTGAAGTATTGTCCGTCGAGGTACGGGTGTCAGACTGTGATGGTGTGAATCATCGCGAGGAGTTCCTTCTTATTGGAGGGGTAATTCATCTCTTCGGGAAGGAGCTTCTTGCTTGCGAAGGCGATGGGGTATTCGTCAGGTGGAGCCTTGGGGTGAGTGGGCGAGTCCTTGATGGAGGGGGTCTCGGCGGTGTCGCGGGGGAAATGTTGGGACAATACGGCTCCAATGGCGAAGTCAGAGGCATCAGTAG